AAATCAAAAGGCACAAAAGGGGGCCTTCACAGTATATTGTTGGATAGCTGTGATTCCACTTTTTTCAGTCATCTTTTTTATTGAAACCTGCAATTTTAAAACTCTGTTTTATTCATTTATTAGCAATAGTAAGAGATATGGTCAGCTTGACTATATTTTTTGGATCATAGGATTCATAGCTAAAATTTTCACATTGCAGATGAAAGCATTACTTAGAATTTGGCAGGGATGTTGTTTCAAAGCCCATTGCTGTACTGAACACTGCTATGACTGCTTTCTGCTTAAAAGTTTCCATGGAGATCATTAGTGCTCCCTTGGTATTTTTGGACCCAACACCATTGAACAATGTGTAGAATAATACACTGACTTTTATCTATGTTAAAATACTTTTATTTGAGAGCTTAGTACAATGTACTAAGCAATAAAAATTCGTTTAACTGTGGAACACTGCTTTAAAATAGGTATCTAGGCAACAGTCGTAACAATAACTGACATCTTGTATTAAAGTTATTAAACACATAGAATTATGATGAATATAAGGACAAGATATTGGAGATAAATAAGCATACAGTTGTAAACTTAAGCAACAAACGTCTTAATGATAATGAAATTAGTGTACTATCTGTTGAACTTAATTTTGTTCCTACCCTGAAACAAGTATCATAGACTGACATTATTGCTTCCTCTCAAGAAGTTAATAGTACATTAGACATCACAATGCTAATGAATTGTGCTTCCAATTTCGAGAAGCTCTAAAATAATCTATGATAAAACCTTGAAGCTACCTGACTAAAAAGGAGCACCAAGCTATCAGTAGTTTAAGGAAAGATAGAGACACTGTTATACGATAATTTCTTGACCACATTTCTGAACAAATAATAGCCAAAGACGATATTATGGCTGGCCTCGACGTGGTTTCCCTTTTCATAAGATACCTGCTAAAGATACCATGGAAATAATACACAAACGACATCTCACTTCCAACAAGAACACCCATCAAAATCCCAAACATTATGATCTTGCTGGACATAAATTACTTTCACTGGAATGACAAATTTTACAATATGTTAAATAGCACTCCAATGGGTTCGCCTTTATCATCTCTAGCAACAGAAATATTCATCAGCATTTCGAACACACCATTTTAACACCATATCTTCATCAACCTCGTATATGCTCATCTGAACAGTCACTTTGACAGAATACAATTTTCCACGGAACTTGAAGTCAATAACACTCTTCCATTCCTCGATGTTCTGGTTCACAAAGACAGGAGTTTGAAGAAGTTGACCACTACCATATACCGGAAGAAGACTAAAAAAATAAATATCGACATTTTCGTTCATGCCATACAATATCTGTCAAAACTGGGATTATTAAAACACTAAAAACTGGTGCTACAAGTACACACTCCTTGTTTTACCTAAATGAAGAACTTAAACATCCTGAGAAAATTTTCAGGAATAACGATCCATGTTACATGGTTCATCTGTCTCAACTACTAATGAACCACAACCTGACAATCAAAAATGGGGAAATAAATATTTCTTTCTTATATATCAGGTCTAAGAGAAAAACTTCGTAGGATAATGAATAAACTTACCATCACTGTAGTTCTCTTAAGTCTTCCTACATTAAGCAACAGTCTTGTGAAGGTAAAATCCCAAGTTCCCAATCCTCTCACATAGAACGTGGCTTATAGCACTCAGTGTCAGTGTAATACAAACACAACACCCGTTATAAGTAAGGTTCAAAGGACACCAAATTGATATTAGGAATTGTGCTATAAACACATCAGCTATAGCTTTTCATGTTCAGGAAAAGACCATATAATATACCTAAAAATTCAAAAATGATAAACAGAAGAAAATATCAAACGGAGAAAAAGCAAAGAAGCTATTGCTATCTGTATTAATCAAAACAATGGCCAACAACTACTTAATACTGCATGGACACAACTAATATATATATATATATATAAAAGCGCGAATGTCTCTCTCTGTGTGGGTTTGTTCTTTATGCACACAACATCTTTAAAGCTACAAACTCGGGGTACAAATATAATTTTATGCAGGAAGTAACATGGACTATGTGGCCACGGCCTCAGAGGCCAAAGTGACCAATTGTAGCAGTTTCTGGCAAACAGGATGGCCAACTGATCCCAAATTGAAAAGGCCGGATTTTTTGGTAACGTGTGATCAAGAGAGCTATTATTTACGTTTCTTCTCTGTGTGAGGACTTCTCGTAGTCATTCTATCAATGATCAATTATGTTTAAAACTTCGTGGAGCCTTCATTTGCTTCTCTTCTCGTAATCTCTCCTGACAGCGAGAAAAATACTGTGTACAAAGAAGCCTTACAACAGATCAACAAATCAGAATGTAAATAAACAAGTAAATCAGTTAAAGCCACCTTCATCCGAGCAACGTGGTTTCGATGTAAAATTAAACCTTCAACTATTATTTGAAGTATGAAAAATTCCTTTATTTTTATTTCTCTGTATAATATCTATAATTGTATTTTCCTTATGTTTATTATTTTGAAGCAATCAATTTTTCTTCTATATTGAACACAATTCTATACGTTTAATAATACCGGATGTCAGTTATTGTTACGATTATTACTTAGATACCTATTTCAAAGCAGTGTTCACAGTCAAACGAATTTTTACCACTCAGTACAATGTTGCCCGACTAAGGCTCCAGTAAGAGGGCCGAAAGCTCGCAAATAAGTGTTTTAACGTAGATAAAAGTCCGTGTATAATTCTACATATTAATTTATCTACGTTACGAGTTTAAAAAAACAATCACTGAACAATCTTACAGAACATTTCTCCTCAAAAGTGCCACAACATTTCCCTAAATCCACGAGGCTACCCATGGCAGCAATACAGTCAGATGATCAGAAATACCTAAAGCCACAAGACTAGCCATGGCAGCAATACACAGTCAGATGACCAGAAATACCTAAAGCCACAAGACTACCCATGGCAGCAATATACAGTCAGATGATCAGAAATACCTAAAGCCACAAGACTACCCATGGCAGCAATACACAGTCAGATGATCAGAAATACCTAAAGCCACAAGACTACCCATGGCAGCAATATACAGTCAGATGATCAGAAATACCTAAAGCCACAAGACTACCCATGGCAGCAATACACAGTCAGATGATCAGAAATACCTAAAGCCACAAGACTAGCCATGGCAGCAATACACAGTCAGATGATCAGAAATACCTAAAGCCACAAGACTACCCATGGCAGCAATACACAGTCAGATGACCAGAAATATGCTGAAACGAAACACAATAGTGGTAAACTTGTAACTTGTGCCATGTTGGTTTGGACCTACGTTAATGTGCCACAGCATTAGCATATGTATTCAAATACAGCTTAATTGATCTTCTGTGTGCATTTACTTGAACTTTTATGACATAGTATATTTTGCAATGATTTTTTCCTAAGCCAATTACTGGGTATAGAAAGATTAGGACACTGTGCATAAAAACATTATAGCTTAATCTTTCATTACATCTTACAAAGAGTTTGGACTGTCTTATAAGACCTTTGCATTTCTCATCCTTGCACAATGTCCAAGAATGATGTAGTTGTACAATTCAGAAAAATTAATACATTAACTAATAACACTTCCATTATCAACCACAAAATTTAATTGATGCAATTCTGCACTATGTAAGTCATCATTTTTGATTCTTCAATGTGACTAACAGATTGAAACAAATCAACATCTATAAATTCAGTGGAGTTCAGTAACCATGACATAATACCAAGAGGTAGAAAAGAAAAACAAAAAACACATGACAAGAGGCAAATTCTCATGATGCAAACTCCAGGGATACAGAAGTAAAATCAGCAGTTGTTTTTCCCAGCTAATAAAAAATGAGCTAAACTCCTATCTTTGTATCAACGTTAGCCACTTCTATCTCATTTTAGGAATTAACAGTTTGTACTAATAACAGCCTAGAATGATAAATATTGTACAATTAAAGAATGTTGAGCAAAAAACAACCTATTTATTAAACAAACAAACAATCAGATTGGTAGTTGTCTACAGTGAGTAATCTTGAAATTTAGTCAATTAGTTTTTATGCATTTAAACAATTTAATAAATTCAAGTTTACATAAATTCTACAAATTTTGTAGCCAAAAAGCCCATTAAGTAGACACGCAACAGAATTTTCTTGAGCTTTCAAAGCTTATTTCCATCTTGTACTTTATTTTTTTATGTTTTGCCAAGTGTGTCCTTCACACCTAGTGAATACATAATTAAAATGTTAGTGAGTCACAACAAATGCGATTACAAGTAAAAGTGTTTTAAAGAACGTGAATTTGGAAATATTTTTATGGATTCAATCATCAGGCTTTGAACATTATGCAGTAAAAAGATTTAATCCTTTATTAGTATGGGGTTATTCATGGTAGTGAATTTGTAAAAATACAAACAAGGGCATTTGTATAGTAAATAAAGAGATTAACAAGTCAACTGTGTTGAAACTGTATAAAGGAACTGCTGACGTGTCTGAATTTGTTTTTAACTGACCAATGAGAAGTACAATTTCTGATGCCCTTTGAACTTTGAAGTTAAATAAAATTATAATTGGCTACAAACATGCTATATGATTCTTCTTTTACATCAGTCGTGATTAATAATTTTTCATTGTTTTCTTCAAAGCAGTGTTCTTTATTGTTTGATCTCTCATGTAATACAGATACATATTTATGAATATTATTTGGAAATTTGGCAAATGGCGATTTCCTGAAAAATTACATAAACACATTTTCAATAATGGGCTGTAGTTTTAATCAAAATTCTAATTCAAAATACTGGTGAAATACCAAAAAATATGTTATTACAAATGGCAAAAAAAATACAACAGAGAATAATAAAGTAGGTAACAGGTGATAAAACCGTATTGGACTTTAAATAAGCCCTGAACATTTGAGATATATTGTTGACAAAGTTAAAAAATTTGTTGGTTTAAAAAAAAAAAATTGTTTTGTTTATATTAAATCAGTTGTCTAAAAAGGGGGGGGGGGCAGATTTATTGAACTCCCACCAACTTTGTGTAGATGCAAAACCTTATGTAAACAATTTTAACAAATCCCACTCACTGTGTGAACCAAATAAAGCTTTGATATTTCAGATTAATTTTTCTGTACAAAATTTACAATATGGTGTCATTCTACAAATTTTTCAAGTTACAATGTTTCAAAAATTTTCCTAGACTTACTTTTAAAACAACTTATAGCCCAATCATGTTGATTTTAAGATCTTCAAATGATTTCAAGGGCTTCATTCTGAATGCTCCACAGAATTCAATAATCAGACCAGAAAACTGAGGAAACTGAATTGTACAACAATAACAAATAGTCTTTAGTTGAAATGAAATTTGAAGGTAAATGGTCCACCTCCTTGATGAAATCCTCCTTGAAATGGATTGAAACCATGAGCAAATGGATTGAAACCTTGTCCTTGTTGGGAATCAGGGTCAAGAGGATCTTCGCCATTGTCAAATTTCTGTCTTTTTTCTGTAAGCCATACAAAATTTATGATTTACAACAACAAAGTTTTCATTAACAAACATTTACAAGTTACATCAAACTTACAAACATATTAGAGCAATTCCACATAACTGGAATAAATAATAATAAATAAACTTAGTATTCCAAAAATTGTTTAATTTCAAAGTCTAATTTCAGTGTTTGTGTTCAGGGTTACTGATGAGGAGTGGAATTCTCCAAAACTAGTATAACTTGATAACACACATTGATCAATGTGTAGAATGAATGGACCTCCCTTAAACTTAGACTTCGAAATTAAACATTTTTTGGAAAATAAGTTTATTTATTATACTTGCTAATGTGTGGCAATATAACGTGAAGAACTGAATAGTGGCCAATGACACTTTTTCTTCACTTCATCTATCCAATGTATAAGTTTTCCTCATAGTGAATACAAAGCACTTTCACACCAAGGTATATCTGAACACAAAGCTAAAAATTCAAACTTTTACAAGGGGTCGTTTGAGGGTTAAATGAATGTTAACAATTGGGTACTGAATAATCAAAATATTTCATTTAGATAGATGTGGAATGTTATGAAAAGAATAATTTTACTAAACTGAGCTATAAATGTTTTTCCCCATTGGAAAACCATTAAAACAAGCCCCATCATCTCTATTATTGATGAAATGGAAGCAATTAAGGTATATGAAATGTATCTCAATTGCATAGATAGATATTTTTGACTCAAAGATTTAATTCTATGTATTAATTATCATATTAATTCACTGGGCCTGAAGCTACAGTGGTCTGTACTATGTAATTTGAGTATAGTATGCAGGTATACTGTTTTTACTCACTAATTTAATATAAAATTTTCATAGATACTTTGTATGTAGTCTTTATATATAATTTCTTTAAAGAAAGAGGTTCCTCTCTCTCTAGTTACCTACTGAATTCAGTCATTCAACTAGTATATTACATGCCCTTTCAAATGGGAAAGTTTATTTTAGCACAAAGCTATAATGGACTATCTGCTGTGTACACTGCAGGGAAATAAGCCCAGGAATTTAACACTTTACAAAATTAGGGAGGGTGTATCTTTGAGTACCACCTAATCTGCCAGTGGAAAAGATCTATTTAGACATAGTATGCTCCACTTTACAGGAATCATTTCTATGGGATTCCCCCCAATGGGACTGTGATAACTTTATGGACTTACGGGAAATGACCAACAGTCACATGGGTAGTATTTAAAATGTTAATATGCTGCAAAATTACCAAACACTTATATAATGTATATAGCCCTTCTTGGTGTTGTACCATTTATATTACTTTACACTAGCTTGCTTAATTTAATGACTAATTTTTAAAACCAAATATACAACAAAAGAAAGTAATGTTACAATAGTTGTATGACATCTTTTCATGGAATCTGTGTATCTTTCATTCCTTTAAGCACCATTTTGACCCTTGATACCAAGTTTCCTGAATAGTAGTTATATTATGTAAGCACTTGTAAATTTTTACAACACTAAAGAGCTATCTAAATATACCACAGAAATTTTTGTGCTAATTTTATTTGAATATCACTTTTGCTGTGGCCACACATTTTTCTCCAGCTATTTGCAATGTATCCAGAAAATGATTAATTCATTGTGATTGACATTCAGTAGTTTAATGTGCTTCACATTTCAGCTTTGTGCATTTTTTTTTCTTATGTATGATAAAGCTGAAATAAAAGTGATTTTATTTTCAATAATGTGATAGTTTGAAACATAAACCGATGAAAGTTTAAAAATTCAACAAAACAATATCACAAATTATTCAATAGTCACAAAATGTAGATAACTTTCTTTTTGCTGTTTCCTCTTATTTACTTCATCCTTACTTATTCAATGTATGTAAGATGGCTGACTATTCTCTTACTTTGTTGATGAGCATATTTACATTTTTATAGAAAACTAAAATGGCATTATAAAGTTGAGTTATCCAAGAACAGATTAACATTAAGTAGATCTTGTAAAGCAGTATAGAACTGTTAGCATAATCACATTGTGAGAAGATGCAATACACTCTTATTGAGCCTCATTAATAAATTGTGAAAATAACATAAAACTACGACCATGTTCACAAGGAGTACTCTTTGAGGTAATACCTAATACAAGTAGACCTAATGACAAGTAATGAAAGTCACCATATATCCTGTGTCATACCGTTTCTCTCAATTTTTTCTCCAAAATCTATTTAATAGTTCCTAGAAAAGCGCATATTCTGTCACAATGATCCATGTTTTCAAGAGGTTATTGGAGTTCATATAAAATATATAGTCTTCTATCACAAAACCTATTTTCATACTTGTACATTTTATGTTTCACTCAAAAGTTTTATCATCATTATATACTCTACACAGAACCAAGTTTTGTAAATTCTGTTGTTTACACTATATTTTTCAAATGTTAATAATTTTTTTGTTAAAAACAAGTTAAATATTTTCACCATACCTGGATCTGTTAAAACTTCTTTGGCTGCAGCAATGTCAATGAACTTTTTCTCAGCTGTCTTTTTTTCATCTCCTTGAAAGTTATCTGGATGCCATTTCATAGCCAGTTTTCTGTAAGCTTTCATAATTTCTCTCTTACCTGCTGTCCTGCATATCAGAAACAGAAAGATAAAGGAAACTTGGATATTAAAATAAACTTGCATATAACAAGATAATAAAAATCCACAGACATAAGTATTTCTGAGCAAAATTCTCATTTAACAAATCATGTGCTCCTTTTTGCATATCCATAAAGGCAAGGATCTTAGACCACCTTACAACAATGTTGGGTTCAAACAGCCATTAAGTAAAAGAATATTGAACAATAGAAGCTATAGAAGTTTAGCATGAAGACTGTTTACAGCAATAGTAAGAAATATTGCTAGTAGTTACTCACTGTCAGGCACCTGTCAGGGGTTGAAAAAAAATTACTTGCATTCATTCAGAGATCTTTGAAATGTACGAGTAAAAAGGTTATGTATGCATCTCAGAGTTTAGACATACAGCTACACAACTGCCATTGTATTATTGAAAATACAGAGTGCCAAAGTAAAGAATTTTCATAGTTCGTTGGTCATGTGACGATATATCTGAAGTTTTAAGTAGTTTTTTTAAATGTTTCTTTTAAAATGAAGGACTTAAAATTTAGATAGCATAAAACTTTCAATCATAACATACATTATAATATTAATTTAATTCACACAAATTGATAGTAAAGGTGTTTAATAAATTTTGAATGTAACACAGTGAATTGTGCAGGGGTTCCCATATTTAAAGGGTTAAATATATACACACACTACACTTTTATCAATACGCTCACAATGAAATCTAAATATTTAGTCTAGGCCCGTGGTAAAGTTCAGAGAAAAATGTTAAAAAAAAATATAACATTTTAAAATAGTGTGCTATAATGTAATAATTATGCACTAATGTTCAATACCGATTCATATTTCTCTATGGCAATCAGCTGTTTTGTACTGGTATGATATGAATAGAATGTTATATTTATTGGTGTCCTTTTACTTAATTGGATAAGCTGATCATTACGTATCAGTTACAGCCTAAAACTTCAACATTATGGTTTGGTTGGTTATATGTGTATCGTAAAATATGTGTACTTGTGGTATTTTGTAAGTATTTTTGCTATGGATGAGCTTGAAATCAAAATATGTACACTCAGGAAACATATGCAGTTTGACATCCAACTATTGTATTTAATATTTTGGTTCGTTGTTCAATATGTAGACAATCTACACAAATTTAGTTGTGAAAGCAAGAACTATGACTAAAAAATTCTTTGGCTTACTGTCAATGTATTAAGTAACTATAAAATTGATATATGAAGTATATATATTCATACTACAACTGACTACATAGATTTCAAATAGTTTATTTTTGGCATATTTTCTGTATTTATTGGCATATTACGTGTTCCACACATATAACATGGATAAAATTTATTTTATGAATGAGCTATTTAACAATCTGTAATATTATGCCTCAAATAGTTTACTATTCTTCTATTCGAAAGCACTTGAGTTTTGGATCTCGTTTCAAAACCATTACAACTCTTGTATATGATCCTGTGTGCTAACTTCTTAATCACAATGTAATATAATAAATAAATCTAATACATAATACTGTAAATAAACATAATAAATATATGTATGAAACTAAAATATTTCCAGGGAGATAAACATAAATTATAGTTTTGTGAACAACTGGTTTTTACAAATTGTTAAATACCAGATCAACCAAACTAAAATGGCAGTCTGTACAAGATTGTGGCATGTGCTCTTTAATCCCTATCCATGCATATAGGATTACGCTTGTGCAAGTCAAAATCCAAACACCCATTCTATCAATCTGAAAATGGTGTCCCCCTTGGCAAGAAATGTAACCATATTAAACAAGGATACTGATCATCATATTTATATGGACGTTTTTTAATGGTTACACTTTTTTCAAGTAGGTCATAAATAACACTTATACATATTTTAGGTGTAGTAAATATGTGCTTTAGTTTGTACTTTTTAAGGTTTTAATAGCACTGTAAGGACTTGTGTAGATTTTACAATATATACAGGATTGCTTAACCAGCTATCAACAATGTATAAAACATCAACTAATGACTTGTTGCAAAGCACATGTTGCAACCATTAGTTAAGATGAAAAATATCCAGGAGATTGAAAACTATGCATAACTTTTGAGCTAAGTAATCTCAGAACTGAACTGAAATTAAAATAAATTTATAAAAACATTAAGTTAGATTTATTACTGTGAGTAGATGCAATATATACATCTAAGTTAACTAAAAGTTGAAGATGAATTCAAATGATATTATTTATAACAATCCTACTAGATAACTTTCAATCAATAATTTAGAGAACTTGTATGCAGGTGAAAAAAAACTTTAAAAGGTAATTAAAATATTAACTTCACTCTATGAACTTGACAAAACCTTAGACTAAAAAAAGATCACTATACTGGAAAACACCTAGCATTTAAACAATGATCATTAGCCAGTCAGAATACCATTAATGTTTATGCTCAATAAAAAATAAGATTATTAACCACCACAAGTTCTTGTTGATGAAAACAGTCTCATCCTCCAAAAATTAGGATATTTTTCACATTGTTAATAAGATTATCTATGGTAGTTCAATTCCATGTTCCTATATGTATAGTTAGGCCTGAATTTCTATAACTTCAACATTACTTTTAAATCTGTAGATATAACAAGAACAACAAAATGAAGCTAAACATTTTCATTATTTCTTAAATCAAGAGAACTTTTAAATAGCTTACAACAACTGTAAAACCAAGTTTTATTAATATTATAATTGATATAAAAACAAAGTTTGTACTATGTACAAAATTAATAAATTATCCACTAAAATCTGACTTGAAAATTCAATTTCGAAATTGTGGAATGTATGGTTTTTATGTTGTGTTTGAAAATATCTACTTGCCATCCTTTCTAAAACCTTTCGTAACTGGAAATTTTATGGTAACTGTTCATACTAGGTTGAAGAAAATCTTACAAATGACTCAAACCAAAAAATAAAACTGTTTAGAGAGGCTGGTCTCTTTTCTAGATGTATCATAAAACAGTTAACTTGTTTTTAATATCTTTTTTATGATACCAGCCAACATAATAATGTCTATAAGTCACATTTTTATAAAATGGTCTGTTTGTAGCAAGGTTTACAATAGGTATGCATTTTGAAGTAGACATGGCTTTGTGAAATATTTGCAAGAGTATTGCTCAGATCTTGCAAGTTCATAAATAGTATTACATTACTATAGAAATATTGCTTCCTACACAAAGAAAAAATCCATGTCAGTAAATTATATCATCCACTGAAATATCCAAATATAATGTTGCAAACAGAAGTCACTTTACTATTGACTTACATAAAGTACATAAGTAATCAGACCTTTCATTTTTGAGGGGCATGACTCAGGTTGTGCTCCCTATTTCAAGTGTGGGTATATGATTGATGGTGTTCCTGAAAAACAATGGATATACTAGTTTAAATTTATATGAAAATTGCAGATGTTACATGCCCATGTCATGATTATATCCCAATGTAACTAGGATATAAAGTATCTGTTTACCAAAAGTTGCCAAATGAATATGTCAGCACCACTTATTGAAGTCACATGTCACTCAGTATTAAAGCACTTCTTCTGGTGAGAGTTTGAAACAAGATGGCAGCCGTAAGCTTCATGCTAATTACACTGATCAGACTGTAATATATCTATTCAGTTACCTAGATTTATTGTGTGGCATAAAGCTGATAGCCTGAATGCTGATGAAAGTAAATATCTTTGGTATTTATACAACATATTTAAAAGTTTTATGCATCTTTTAGTAGGATAGTGAACATAAGAACAAGTTAACCATCGAATGATTCATTATTCTCCTGTAATTTTTCAAATCTAAAGCACTGAAGTAATGTCATGCTAAATTTTAATAAAAAAATTTTCAACAGAAAGGCAAATACAGTATTTTTAATTAAAACCCATCAGGAAACCTACCTTCTGACTCCAAGTATTTTGTAATAATCCCTTTTCTTGGCTTGTTTGACTAGCTTCTGAGTTTTTTCTAAACCTTCTTTGGCTCTCTGTAAATGCTCATCAATATTTACTGCATGCTGAAAATCTTCCTTTGCTGTAAATGACAATCAATAAACTTCATTTTATGGAAATGTGGCCAATGATTTGTTTCAATTTTAATACAATGAATGGAAACTTAGAAGAAACATACATTAAATGATACAATTCTTAAGAAATAAATAACAAATAATGATTAACTGCATATTTCACGAAGACCCATATTAATAATTAGCAACAGCAGTATGCAAACTATGACATTAAAAAGTTCAAACTTTAACTTATTTGAAATATTAGTGTTATAATTTCTTTTCTTAAAATTAAATATTATCTTTAATGCTTTGTTTGAAACACAGTTATACCTATTTTATTGAAAATTTTTAAGTGCATTTATGATTGTTTGTTTGATTGGAATTTTTCAGCACAAAGCAACTGGTCTACCTGCACCAAAGAACCAGTAAAAATGCCAGAAATTCATTTATGAAAGCACTGCATAAATGAATAATCAAAGTTATAAAATTATATAAATAGATGTAACAAAAATGTAATGAAAAGGCTATAGTTATTTATAGCAGTATAATGAAAACTTAAAAGCAGTTTTCATTTTCTGTATTTCTGTGTATCTAGTTAAATGTACAAAAACTGTAGTTCATGAAATAAGAAATGTGTTTAATGGAAGTACTATAAATTAATTCAGGCCAATGATAACAATATACACCAAAATATATTTATAATTTTGGAAAAAACTCAAGTTGAAATGAATAATTTAAAATCTTAAGTAGACAAATATATCATTCACAAAAAGTGTTATAAATTAGAAGTGGTATATACATGTATGCAAACTAAAATTTCTTTGAGTTTTAAAGTGATTCAATATGCATGTTTATTACACTCTTGATGTTTCAGACAGCACTTTGGAAAATACTATTCAGTCAGATATGAACAGTCAATTCCATGACCACAGAGCTGATAACTAAAACTACATGCTCTCTCCCAGAGTAAAGCATCTTAGCCAAAAACTAAATTTTCCTTAGATTCACTGTAAATTGAAATGATGACACAACAAATAAAGTTGTTACAGCTGACAAACAAGTTACATTATCAATGAATAAAACAAAAAGACATTTACTTTTTAATTAAGGGTTTTTTTAAAATACAAAAGGTGTACACGTGGGTTCAGAAGTAACTTGAAATGATTGTAGTTTTGCAGGATGATTGAGAAAAGGAGTTAGTATTACTAATGGTATAGTTATTCGGACTATTATTCTCATATTTATTATGTGTATTATTATTTTCACATCTCGTTTGAACCCAATATACTGTCAATTGTTTAACTAATCTTTTCACAGGTAGTAACTAATATATCAATGGTAAACGTATTTACCATACAAATTCTCTAATGATCATTTAGTAAGACAAAAAAATTAAAACTTTTGCAGAAAGTTTTTAGTGATAACCAAGCTATGTCTTTAAGCTTAAAATTTTGCAAGCAAACTTCCAATAAAATGTGTAATAATAAACCCGGAATTATTAAAAATAACCAAAGATTTTTTTTAAAAACAACTTAAAAGTACTGAGTCATTTTTGCAGCAATACACTGTAAGCCTTAAAGCTTCAGTTTGACAGTCTAAGCCATTCTGATAAAGCAATTAATAGTACAGCTGCTGTTACGGCAAAGTTTATCAAGTGTTTATTTTGTTTTTAACTTAAAGGACAAGTTGTCCAAGAGACATTTTAATGTAATAAGAAACTAGTACATTAACCACATTACTCATATCTTCAGAACAAAAAGGTTGAACTATAGAAGTTTAATGTTATCAATAAAAATATAGCAGTTGAAAATTATTATATAAATGAGTTCAAATAAGAAATGAAAGCAAATCCCAGAAGTATATTTGCTTATGAAAGTTTAGTTTTGTGCTTTCTGAGATCATGAATAATGATGAGTTGAACAATTTTTATCCTAAAGTTAATACAGATCTAGTAATGAATGTTTCAGTACTATAACATGAAAGATGTTTTACCTGCTTAGACCTAAAAACAAGTTTAAGTCTAGGCTACTGAAACACTTTGAAAGAAACATAATAATGCATTCTATGTAAGATCAAGACTTCAGCAATATTTATAGTTTGCTTCACAAAGAAAAAAAAAGGCTGTATTAAATAAACATTACAACAAAAATCTTTAGCCAGAACTTTTGATGACAAATGCAAAAGTGTCACACTTATAAAAAAGTTGTTTAACTTTTTTTGAATAAATTATAGTATACAAGTCAAATAGGCATAAATACAATATATCAGTTTTTTTATACTAATCTACCGACCATTAAATGATACTTGATTGATAATTTTGTACATACTGTTTATTTTAATGGGTTAATAATAATATAACTGTTAAGATACTCATTAATGAAGTTTTTGGTTTTTACTGTGTTCTCAATAATACAAAACTTTATTACCTTGAGTTATAACACATAACTGTGAAATATTTTATGAAACAACAACAACAAAAAAGGTTTACCTGTATAAGAAAAGCAATTTTTCAAAATATTTTTTTTGAAAAATTCTGCACAAAGCTACATAAAAGGCCATTTAAATATAACCATCCCTGATTTTGAACTGATAGACTAAAGGGAAAGCAGCCAGTTATAAAAAACCCACAGCCAATTCTTGTATGGCCAAATAGCAGAATTTGAACATCACTCTTATAGCATACACATGATCCTAAAATATTGAGGTCATTTTTGGACTGTACGCTCAAAAGCTTCAGATTGACAGTCCAAGCCATTCTAATCAAGGACTTTCTAAAGACAAAAATACAAATAAATGAATTGAAAGAACAGAGATAATACATGGTTTTTGCTCCTGTACATGTCTCTCACTTTATTTTTATAATATGTAAAGTACCTTATGTTTCATAGACCCAGCATACAATCTGTATTAGTAGCAAACAATTAATGAATAGCGTTCAGTATTTCTTTACAGTATTATTACATTATACATATGGAAGCAAAGTTATCAATCAAATAACTACTGTTGATTACCCATGGTATCAACTTACTTTGCAATCTGAATTCTCATACTAAACAAGAGCTTCAGTAACAAAACAAAGAAAAAAGAGCTACATTGTATGTGCGAAATAATACATATATTATCATAGCAGGTTTATGTTCCTATAAAATTTATTGCTCCAATCTTTAAACAATTGAAAACTGAAGACACTTTGTCATGCCTTTGTACTCACTTAACTTGCAAGTAGAAATATATCTTTAAACAGTATAATCATCTTATATTTAACCTGCTAGCAAGTTAAAGACATACTCTCTAAGCATCCATACAATCTGAAGCAAAGCATATATTCTTGCTTGTTACATGCATTATTCTGTGAAAGATAAACACCCACCTTTATCATAATCTTCATTTAATAAGTAAGCATCTGCTCTATCACAGAGGGCATTAACATCTTCTGCATTTAGTTTTAAAGCTTCTGAACAAATGCTGATTGCCTCAGAAGGCTGTCCACCCTAAATTTGAACATACGTAATTTAGATTTTATTAGTACAAACTCTTCATACACAGCAAAACAAAACAACAACCAAAAAAAAGGTTTAAATAGTTTGTTTCACAACTTCATTATCACATGAAAGTCTACTTTCTCACAATTAATTTATATAAAAATTTCTTAACTTTCCTTAAGTTCATATAAGAGATGTGAATAAGCTTCACTTCTACATTAATCAGCATAAAAATGTATTCATACATGAACTCAGCAGTCAGGCCAAATCTGGGAGTAAACAAAATTAGGCTACAATTTAATCTTTATAAGAAAATTCTTACTCTATGAACAATGCCTAACAAAATATAAAGCATATTCTTAGGCCTATTAATTTCTTCTACAGAGGGTTTAGTATGTCATGTTAAAAAGAATTTGAATACTCAAATTAGCAAGTCACATAACAACCACACATGATATAAAGTTGTAGCTGTGTGCTATGAATCATCTCTTCATTTTAACATTGTTTTGCAACACGTAGGTAGTGTAATGCAACCAAAAACTGAATGTTTTGGGAAGGGTATATTAGAGCCTTTTCTGAAGCAAAATAATCAAACACTAATATCATAATGATGTCTTCAGAACAGAGATATAGGGAATAACTTGTATTTAATGGCCTTGGAAATCAGAGGAAATAAACTTGTACCCATTTTTGCAGTCATTTTTTTAAACTAATTCATGAAATGAAAATTTTATTCAATTTTATACATAAAATTAAATTTAACACATGCCACATAAGCCAGCCAAGCATATTGATGGGGATAAAAAAAAGTAATTCCAGAAAGGTTGGGTTGTTTTGATTAGATAAAAAGAAAATATTTGGCACTATTTTTGAGGTCTAGGTCACTGAACCAAACTTGTGACTTTATCTGCTACCATGACAGCCAACATGGAGAAGTTAACTTGTAAACGTACAGTAAATGGATGTAACAGTTAAACATGCTTGAAATGTTGTAGATGTTGTTGTGAATGGGATAGTTTAAGCTAAACCTTGGGTCCAGGTCAGATGAGGAAAGAACTTATTCGAAGACATTCCAATCGATTTGACATAATAGCTGACTAAGAGATTCATCAACTGATTACTGCATTGGCAGCAAAAAATAAAAAACAGGTCCAAGAGTATGGTTATCTTCAAAAATGAGAATTGGAATCATATATATATATATAAATAGTCATTTGTTTCAGTAATTTATGAAACTAATGGCATAGTAAAGCCAGTATTGAAGTTGAAGCAGATACATGATGCATTAAAAGATGATGTCCCTGGCAATTCTCAATTCCAAAATGCTATTTCTGCAACAAAGGTTAAATATAAGAAATATGGTATAATGTCCAGTATGGTACCACCATAGTATAATCTATACAGATTTCATCATGTTAAATTTAAATTAATATTTAGTTTTTTTTTTGTTTTAGAAGTTGTGGCAAGATCTATTGAAATAACCCTAAGTCACCAGTTTTTGGAAAGACTCCCCCCCGGTTGACCATCATAGGCTCAGCACTAAAAGATTGTGGGCTGGCTCATGTAGCAGGTGTTAGATAATCACCAATTTTCATTCTGGGTTGATTTCAGCATGCTTCGTGTATTTCCTGAATTTATTTTTCTAAACATAAGACAGTACTAGGAACTCTCTAGGAAGAAAGTCAAAATAAGTTTGTAAACAACACCAATTTGGACCATTTAACTTCAATTCAAGTGTAGTTTTTCAATTTTATCAAATCACTGTTTCTTAACTTAACAACACTGTCATATAATGAGGTGACTAACTGCCTATATCTCAGCATATTAAGAAAGGTCTTCTGTTCTTTTCAATTGTATAGGTGAATATGGCTTCCAGGTTAGCAGAGATCAAAACAGAGTGATAAAAGAAAATATGTTTGTGAACAACTTCTGCCACAACTACAGTCCCAATTTTTGGAAAAAATGCTTGCTTTATCATTTTATACTTTATTGGAATTATAAACTTGTAGTATGTTAAGTAATGAAATGTTTTTCATGGAAGAAGATGAGGCAAACTTAAATCATTTTTCACTCAATCATCTCAAGTTTTGTTTTGCCAATAAGGCAGCTGTTTGTTAGGCTGTGTTTACATAAGGCATTGTCAGCTTAAGGTATCTGCTTGAATGGGTAAGAAAACAAATCCCTGAAAACAAATGTAAGAAAAAAATATCTAAATGAATAAAAAATGTGTTTGGAAAATTATTAAATATATTAGATGAAACTGTTATTAACAATAAAAACAAAATCAGCATGCTAGTAATTTTTGAATAATAAAAAAGGTTGTTTTTATTGTACACCAGTGATCACAAACAGTTAAATTATTTGAAGCGTTTTTTAATCAAAATGAACAAAATTTAATAGAAAGCTTTACAAAAATGTAGGAAGACATAAAAAAATCAGAAAGTGAAATCTACAACAAAGGTATACATTTTTTTTTAAAAATATATCACAATGAAATATTTATTTTTCCAAACTGCTAGTTCATACAAGTATGATATATAAAAAATCTTATTTTTCAGAAGCCACATTATCTATAGAAAGTTTAACTCATATTTCATCAAGTAGCTATCTTTAAAATGCAATAATACAACTCATACAAGGTGTGTGTGTGTCAATCAGTTTCATGCATCTTAGGTTTTGAGAATTAAAAGAGCAGATCCATTTACAATTTAGCAACTATATTGTGTTTAAAAGAACACAAAACTCACCTTATTTAAGCAATGACACATTCGACCTTTAATATGTTGCACTATATGCAGCATTTCTGGCTCTGTTGTAAGAGCTACATTAGCTTTTTCTACACAGCTTGTATAATCATTCTGGCTAATGGAGTCTTGCATGGCTCTTAACTGCGCTGCTAATTTTTTAACTTTTTTATAATGTTTAAAGCACTGTTTGTGGTCAGGATCTAATTTCAGGCACTCTCGTATCACCCTAGAAACAAAAAATACACATAATCCTTATAAAAGCTGTTATCTAATTTTGTTTGAAACCAGCTTGGAAACTAAACAAATCCCAGAAATAATATATCTTAACATTACTAAAACAAATCCCAGAAATAATATATCTTAACATTGTTAAAACAAATCCCAGAAATAATATATATCTTAATATTACTAAAATATATTACTTCTCTGATTTGTATTTATATCTTACCATTACTAGTTGTACTGTAATGAATACACCAACTGGCAACTATGATATGTATCCCAAAGTCATGTGTATGAATGTTTATTCATGGATCCAGCTATACAGTATAAATAAAACTATTTTCTCAGATCAAACAATTCTATTTAATTTAAATATTTTTGTTCAAAAAACTTCACAACAAATCCATCAACTTCCCTGTACATAATATTTCCAAACAGATGTTTTAAACATTGCCAGGGGTGTGGTGCTTACAAAAAATATAAATATATGTTAAGTAATTATATCACAATTGAAAAATGTCTAGTATATAGGTACAATGTCAGTGTGTTAATTGGTATTACTGTAAACCAGTATAGCTATAAAGATGCAATATGTTATGCTTCTGGTCAAATATACCAAAGCCATTTGGCAGTTTTCTTATTGTTTCAGTACACATATTGAAAGAAATAAGTGTGCTACACCTTTCTGTGAAAAAAAATTAAAAAGGTCAAACATTTGGTTTATACAATTGTGAAAATCAAATTGTATCTGATATGTGGCCATTTTTGATGAACCGAATACATGAGTGATTGCTACACTTCTAATTACTTGACTAGAATGTACTAAAAGAAAGAAGATAGCATATCAAGTTCCTTACTAATTTAAGCATGCTTATCACAGCTGGCCAGCAAAGTCAATTGTCCATGAACTTTAATTGTTTCTCAAGTGAAAGGTGAAATTAGCTGGGCAGATGTTTTACAGATGTAAACAAGTGTTAAATGCTGTATAAAGTTTATATACTGTTAAACAGCTCTTTTCAAGACTTATCTAAAACTAAAATGTATACAGTTAGTTTCATCTTGCATTCTCCTACACTGATGATTTTTACTACTAATAATTTAATGACCATAAGTTAAAGAGAAACAAACATATGATACAGCTCACTAACTATATTTAGATTATACTGATGAGGTACCTGCACATCTTTCAGTAATCAAGTAGATTTAAACGTTTCAGGGAAAACTTGTATTGTTTTACTGTAGTCTATTTTAATTCATTTTCTGATGTCACAGATGGAAACTACTTTAATAAACCTTAAACTTTCCTTGTACATTACAAAACATTAATTGTATAAATAATCAGATGCGTTTTCTGAGATCGTACTCAAAACATGTTTTAATTTTGACAAAACTGTTATAAAATACTCAAGAATTAAAATAAAAAATAACTATAGGGTATTACTTTTACCAAAAACACTGGTGGTAATTTGAGGAGAGGTAGGGAAGTAATCTACATAATAATTATTTTGTACCATTAAACACAATTACTCACGTTAATGATTCATCAACTTCGCCTAGTTTGTAATGAAGCTGACTAAGTTTCAAGTATCCCTCAGTGTTGTCAGAACGCATCTTAGTTGCTGACCTTAAATCTCCGATTGCATTCACAAGGTCATTTAATGCTTCATAACAACCAGCTCTCATTTCCCTCAGTTTTCCATCCCAGGGGCATACCTGCATATTTTTTAACCAAATATTTTAAGCTCAAAAACACTCATGTACATTCCTTTATATATAATAAATGTCCTAAACCAAAATAAAAATTAATTAATGCATATTTACAGAAAGTACACTTGCATAAGTGCAATCACATATTGCCCTTAAATTTTATATCAATATATTTTTATCAAATTTTTTAGAAATGTTAGATAGTTGTGGATAAACTAGTCTATCCCTGCTAGAGCACATCGTTTATTTATGTACATTTCCCACGTTAAACAATATTTATGGGCTGCATATACTGTACTGTACATAATTCTGAAAGTTAATTCTTTAGTCACGCTCCAAATGTATTGTTGTAAATCTAATTTAATATCAGCTTATACATTAAATGACTTAAAAGCTTATGGAATAAACACATAGAGAAACACTAAGATAAAAAAAAATTAATTCATCAGTTTAGTCATGTTGAGAAATAATTATAACACACAAAAAATCATGTAATCTAAAATTATTATTTTTTTCTTATAAGACTTGGAATTACTTTGTAATACGAGCCAATATATTTCATAATTGTAAGAGCTTCTGAGTGAAAGCAATAAAGAATATGTAATATTAACTACATCTGCCATATCCACTGCTGACAAGGTATTTCACCCAATACCAAGGCTGTATCCTACCCACCCTGAGATGCTATTTATGTCAAGTTCATGAGCAATAACTGTTATGATGTGAACTAGATTAAGTGAATCGTAATTATGAAACTGCCACTCAGGTAGTCAGTTCTTACATATGTTTCATATTATAATATTACACACAAGATATGTTATTGCATTTTAATGTTAAAATTATAAGTTAGTTTTTTTACTCTTATCCAATGATCAAAAACTAAAGTTCTCATATGATTATAACATGGGTTTGCTGCCTTTTATTACTGAGTAAGTTTCATGTGAAATATTTTAAGGTTTTTCAGTTTTAGCTTGAATATAAAACTAGAAAATAACTAAATGAATACAAGTTGACAATTCTGTGAATATTTTACATGTTGTGTACATCTATTGTTTTTTTATTCAACAGGTTCTGATGTTTATATGGAGTATTTCATTATACATTGTACAAAATGTCATAAGAGATCAGAACCATCTGAATGAGCACCAGAAAAAAGCAGCATAATGTTAAACAACAAGGATGAGGGAAAATGTAACACTATACAGCTTAGTTATTTAAAATTGCTGACTAAATATTGTTAAAAGTCCAACTTACAACAGCATAATAGATTTCCTTCATATTCTAAAGCTATTCTACTCAGATAAATATGCTAAAAAAATAAAAGGAAATACTAAACTTCCTAAGTTAGGTAATATATTGTGCTACTAAATTGGTACTTTAGAATTCTAGGTTCTAGATTACATTCAAAAAACCAACCTGTAGAAGCCTCGTCAGAACATCAATGGCAGCTATGTAATCCCTGTCTTCTATTAAGATGTAGGCTAATTCCATATCACGTTTTACAGGCTCAAGATCCCCATACGCTCTTTGTGCATCTCCATTCAAAGGATCTAGCCTTAACTAAAAACAAATATTACTCTTGTATATTGATAGCTATCAAACCTAAACTAAGACATTCAATTACATGTATTGCTAAATATTAGTAAAACACAACATTTTTAAATTATGAATACAGATATTCCAATATAAATTGAAAATGTCAAAATTAGACTTTTCAATGTAGCTATAAATATTACAAACAAACAACTGACACTTAGTTTAGCTTGGTCTCACTATAATTTGCATATCTACTATGAATGTTTTTCCATACTTTTGTATATCTAATGTACCATAGATGCAACAGTGCTGGAAAGTAAATTACCACAAACACCCATACACTAAAAATCCTGTTTTTTGTTGTTTAAAGCACACATGTAATTAGACAGTTTTATAAAGAAATCATAAGATACAAAACATGACATTCCTGTAGAAGTGGGGAATTAGTAGAATTTGATAATCAATTAGACTAGAATAACTGAAAATAGCAATAATTGGAAACACTAATTTCAATTAGTTGGTTATTTTCTTGAGTCATAACACTAATCGATTAAACTGAACAAATATGAATTAATCAATATTATGAATAATCAGAAACACTACTTTTAATTAGTTGATTATTTTCCTGGCATTAATTGATTTCATCCTAATCAATGTAATTACCCAGCTTTACATTACAGACATAGTATTAAAAATAGACATACTGTATACATAAATTACAGACATGTAACCTTTCAATTCTTCTTAAAATATGCATTAAAGGACCACAACTTTCAGAAATTGAAAAATATAATTAATAAGGATAAAAATTGTCCACCCGACTTTTTCTAGGAATATATGATGCTCATTGAAAACCCAATATTTCAAAACAAGGTTTACAAACGAACTAACTGTGTAAAGGTGTGTAGAATCAAAATAATAGTGTAAAACTTCTTTTAATAAAGCAAATATCAAATGTTTTCTTTTTCTCTTCCGAGACACAATATCTCAAAATAAAACTGAATATTTCTTTTGTCATTTTTATTGTTCAGATAATTCTTATCTCTGATGTTTTTTTCACGCAAAATGAATACACCATGCAATATAAACAATTATTACACTAAATACTACTAAATGATACACTAAGGCTTATACTTACCACCCATTCATAATCAATATGAGCTTCTTCTAGTCTTCCTTGTTTTAATAAAATATTCCCTCTTTGCAAACGAGCCTAAACCAAAAAGAAGAAAAAACTTTGCTAATTGTTGTTAAATTTACTTGACCTTGTACATACATGTAAAAGGTAATTTTCTCAAACATCAAAATTTTAACTGGACTACACATGTGTTATATGTTTGAATGTTGGAAACTGGCAGCCTGAATCCAAACTTAAAGTAACAGCTTGATTCACTTTTTCCTCTGAAATTAAAGCTATTTGATCTTCTAATGTCTTTACTGACTTGTTTTTCCAAACAGTTATATACTGATGACTAATGCTTAATTATAAAAACTAATGCAAAATCCAATGATGACAAAGCCTATTTGTAAATCTATCCAAGAGAAACAACCTCTTAAGTCATGTTGAATAAATTAAATGCTTATCAAAAAGCTTCAATCATTTAAAATCATAATAATGGTTAAATATGGAACAAAAGATTAATTAAACAATAAAAATACCATATTATAAACAATGTAGTTCTTAAAGGAAAACATTTGAGATTCAGGCAGATAATGATCTTTCCACGTTTCACTTCAATGTATATTAAAAAAAGAGCAGGATTACCAACTGATTCATGTAGCCTTTCTTATTCAACACCCTATACAACAGATATTGAAAGCATAATTCAACAAAATTGGTCAATAGTGTTAATCCAACTATACAGACCTTGGTTTCTTTGGGGGTGATCATTTATTGTTCTTGCTACTTTCTAGATACAGTTCATTGTCATTTCTTTACCTTACTTACATACAAAAAAAAGTATTAGATCACAGCCAATTGGGTTATACCCATCATCTAATCTACAAATAATGAATGAACAACTTCATACAAGTACTTACTATATGCACATTTATGTATGTAAGTGTGCATTTTGATATCTTGCAACAAAACTTCCTGCTGGCCACATGACATTGACATTTAACTGTCAATTAGTTTAAAGGTAAAGAGATAATTATAATGATAAAATGTAGATTATATAAAAATAATAGATATCAAAGCTACACATATGGTAGTCTCAGTTACAGTCCATTAGTCTATGGTATGTGGTTGCTCAAATTTGTTTTTAAAAGCTAAGTGAAAATGTACTATAATTTTTTTCATTTCCACTGTTTCAGTCAGAAAGTAGACAACTGCTAGGACCAACAGGCCCTGATCATGGGTGTCCACGAGAGGAAAATGAGAAACATAATTATTTCTTTATTCATTCAGTATATGTATATGAATTTTTTTTCACTTCACAATTACACACTACGAATGAGTGTGGGGTAGTCCACATACCAGCCAGGATAATATCTTCAAGCAGTTGATGGGGGAGCTGCCAGGGACTGTCAGAAAACAAATCCAGTAAGAGAAGACACAAAATGGTCATCAACTACCCACATCCAAGGAAGGGTAAAAGATCCAGGTGAGTCTGATGATCTATCTGGAAACTGTGGAGGGAGAAACAACTCTAGGAGACGAGGGGTCCCAAGAAATGAAAATATAGTGTCAGGAACTCTATAGGAGGAAGTAAGGAAGAGATAAAAACAAACAGTCCTGACTGGACACAGGAATCTGTCCAGAACAGAATATCTATAAATAATGGAGACAGAGAGAAGAGGAGAAAATTGGGAACCACCTTCTTGAGTATCCAAAAAAGTCTGAAGAAGGAAATAATGTTCAGGGTAGAGAAGAATGTATGAGCAGTGGAAATAAATCTGGGCAAAGTGGATAGAGCAGAAGGCAGAAAAACAACAAGCACTTGTAAGAATGAGAAGGAAAGAAGTATAAGAGAGAGACAATAGAGAGAGTGCAGCAAGAGGTTCGAAAAGCATCAATAGTGAGGGCATGAAGAGCAGCATTCAATTCCTATTCAGACAATGGGTTGGGAATAGAGGGCTTGTGCAGTAAGGAGGAGTGCAAGAGAGTGGTAAGAACAGGGGAGGAAAGAAAAACAATATAAAACAGAGAAAGGCAGAAGGTAGACCATGTTCTGACCCCTTTCTGGTTTATTATTCTTGCCTTTTCATTGTACACAAAAGGGGGGGGGGCGGTAACCATTCAGTCAGGACTGGACTTATTTCCTTCTCTATACCTGTCCTCCTTGCTGCCATCACACTCATGTTTTTGCTCTGTTTTGGGACACCTAATGCAGAATACTGTTGTACTACTGGAAATGATGGACTTTTCACTGTTGGCCCCTCCTTTGTCATTTCACCCATGACTATCCTAACTTACATCACCTCACATCTTATCTTTACTCGGCTATTTGACTAAAGCTTGTCTGTTTCTACTGTTGTGGGGTCTCAGGATGCTCTGCCCGACACACCAAGGGATCTACTGTTTTCATGGGTCCTCCTTCCTACCCATCCCTTAGAGGATCTTGCCTGGTGGCTAGACTGCTTGAACTCTACCCATCTTTCACCTGGTGGGGAGGATCCCTGTACAACTCTCACTTTAGATTCTTGGACCTCTTTAGAGTTCTTTCTATATCAGCATCCTGGTAATGCTTGCAGTCCTGTGGGCATACTCCCCCTCATGGTGGTACTTATGGTCCACTCAGACAATTCCACAGTAATGTCTCACATAAACCATCAAGGGAGCACCTGCTCCAGAAACATTTGTTTTGAGATGTTAGATCTCCTTTTTTGGTCCCATTCCATTTGGGTGAGCTTGATTGCCTTCCACGCTCCAGGTGCTCTGGACATTGTTGTGGACTCTCTCTCACAATGGGGGACTGCTTCCCACCCATGGAATGGTCCTTTCACTCACAGATTTCTAACGGGTTCATTCCTAACTTTGTACTCCTTTATTAAATGCATTTGCCTCACCGCTGTATTCCATAACTCATGTAGGGCTCAATGGAGTTGATGTATGTACGTGTGGGCAAATGGAATGAGAGGTTCCAGAGAAGCCATAGTCCCCAAAGAGAGAATCTAACAAGAGGATGGAAAAAAAAGGGGAGAGGATTTATATGACCAGACCTCATAAGAGGAGAGTATCTAGTGGGAAATAAGACATTGGGTCAGGATAGGAAGAAGTTGGAAAAATGGACAAGCCATCCAAAGTGAGTGGCTCAATGAAGAGTAAGTGAAGTTTGATCCATGGATTCCACTTGGGAAAGGGAGAGTAGAAGCCTGACAACCATGTAAAAGTGGAACTGTAGGCCCAGACTGTGTAGATAATGAGTAAATGCCTGCATAATGAGATTGAAAACATATGGGGCTAAGGTTATTCCATATGGAAGGACGCAGAACTGATACACAATTCCCATGGATGAACCAGAGATAAGATCATGAAGCAGGAGCTACAGAACATGAAAAAATGCATCTTGCTCATGTGCCTTAGTCATCCATAGGTGTGTTTGAAAAGACCAGAAGAGAGAGAATAAATTTTCCTTCCAAAACTGAGGGATGACCAAAATACGGGTGATGGAAGATAGGTCCGTGAATGGTTACTGCCCCCCCCCCCTTTTGTGTACAATGAAAAGGCAAGAATAATAAACCAGAAAGGGGTCAGAAATTCACTGTATGGATTGCTTCTCCAATAGGTTCAAAACCACTCCATCCAGATGATGGCCATAGGCTAAAATTGAAGAAGGATGAAAGGCTATGATTGGGAGACAGAGAGAAGAGGGGGCTAGACTGTGGATTAAGACTAGAATGACCCAATTTTCTGGAGCAAAATGGGACAGGTGGGATCATACAGGACCTGAACCGACCGGATGGTCACTAACTGTTAGAATAATGGGAAAGACTTGGGTGGAAGTATGCCAGGAAGAGGTGGAAGGCAGGAAAATTGGAATTGAATGTGGAATAAGGATGGGACAGATGTGGAGGAGTGAGAATGGGACAAACTAGAAAACAATGAAGAAAGGGAAGACTGATGGTGGGCTGCCTCAACACTTGATTCCAGGTACAAAATTAAGCCAAAGAGGAAGGTGATAGGTAAATACACATGGGAAGGTAGGGTACCCCCTATCCAAGAAGTTTCAATGATAAGGAACCGAGAAGTGAAAGTTCAAATGAAGCTGAAGGTGCCATGGAAAAAAAAAGGAAGGGTATGAATGTACCCTGTAAACTCATTAGGAGAACAATGGAGTGCCCCATCATAAGATGGAGAGAGGGAAGGTAATAAGGAAAGTATAAAATCTAGAAATCTGGTTACTGGACAGTAACACAGCTGACAAAGAAAGGATCCCAAAGACAAAAAATCTTAATTTAAGGCCTGGATGTTCATGAAAGGGAAGGGACTTGTAAATAGGTAGAAACTGTCAGGCACGGAGGACATGGTATAATATTGCAAAAACAAATATTTTCTAGAAAAGATGAAACATGAATGGAAATATCAGGGGAGGGTGGAAAAACCTAGAAATCATGTGGAAGGGTTTTGTAAAAGAGATCAGGAAGCATTATAAGTAATGGGGTAAGGAAAAAGAATAGTACATACATGGGTAACAAGTTCTTACAAAACCTGAAGAGGATGAAACCTGTTCTTTAGGAGAAATGAAGATACCCTAGGCAAGGGCAGGAAGTAAAAAAAACAAATTGCCTCATTTCTTCCACCTCAACTTTAGATTCAAAATTCTGTGAAAGGAATGATGTGGCAGAGATGGAAGAAGAGTCCTGATAGCAACATGTACTCCACCATACATTTGACAATGGTTGTCAACAACCTCAACAGGCAAAGAACTTCTTGAATTGTTGGTAATTGTGAGTGATATTCATACTCACTTCAGCAGTATAAGAATTCATGTTAAATATAGGGAATGTAGAGGGAACATTTGTACAAGGAGGTGTGTTAAACTCCTACTGGTGGAAGGTTTTGTTGCATGATTTGTTTGTTTGTTTGTGAATTTTGCACAAAGCTACACGAGGGCTATCTGCACTAGCTGTCCCTAATTTAGCAGTGTAAGACTAGAGGGAAGGCAGCTAGTCACCACCACCCACTGCCAACTCTTGGGCTACTCTTTTACCAATGAATAGTGGGATTGACCATCATAATATAACACCCCCACGGCTGAAGGGGCGAGC